GGTAGATCTGCTCGAGGGATTGGATTCTACCGGCCTGGACCAGACGGCCAAGCTTCGTCACAGGCACCCACTTCTGCTCCTCGTTGTCGCGGCGGGAGCGGCGGGGGCCGCGGCCGCGTCCTCCCCTGTCTCCACCGCGGCCGCGGCCGCCGAAGCCGCCCCTGAAACGCCCTTCGCCGCCCCTTTCAGCCATTTTTTCGGGTAGCGTCTCTTAAGAGATTTGGTGGTGTTTTGAGGAAATGAGGGGACGAGTGAATGTGTACGTCTCTCAGAGCGTGGAAACCCTAGGACACAGAGTGAGTGATATAAATAGAGAACTCATATATGGGCTTAGGGTTTTACTAAACAGGCCCATTTGTTTTGACATTTGGGAAGTGATAAAAATAGAGAACTGATATTGGGCTTGGGGTTTTACTAAACAGGCCCTTTTGTTTTGATATTGGGAAGTGATAAAAATAGAGAACTTATATATGGGCTTAGGGTTTTACTAAACAGGCACATTTGTTTTGACATTTGGTCCACTACTCCGTATCCATTGCACGCGCAAATAATTTTAAAATTATAGTTGTAATAAATAAATGTTGAGCTATGTGTTTACATTAATTTAAAATAAATTTATCTTTCGTTATGAAAATTAAGTGTAAATTGATTTGAAATAATATTATTTTGGAATATTGTTTGAGTTTCATGTAATTTACCAACTTCAATTAATATGATAAATAAAAATACTAAAATATATATTATTTTTGAAAAACTATTCAAAACATTTCAAATTATCTATACTATTTTTAAAAAATACCTAAAATTCTATATGGTATTTTAAAAAATGTTCAAACATTAAATTTGTCTATACTATTTTTTTAAAAAGAAAAAAAAAACAAAAGTACCTACAATTTTATATGTTATTTAAAAAAAATCTAAAAAGATATCTAATATTGTAGGTCAATTTTCCATCATTAAAACTATCAGTAAATATATAAAAAAAACACACCATATATATAGTAGTGTATATACAACAACACATTTAACACTATTATAATCTATATAGAGAATTAGATAAATATTAAAGATATTTATATTTTGATAAGTTTTGCCTTGTTTTAATTCCTTAGAAAAAATAATATACATTAAATGTTTTGGCATAAATTTCTATACAAAAATGCTAAACAAACTAATGTGGAAAAGCATCCACCACCTTAAACATCCAACCAAATAAGTTCTAACATCCAAACACAAGTTCTAACATCCAAACACATTCTCCCCGTATTAGTCTACTTCAAATAAGTTCTAACATCCAAACACATTCTCCCCGTATCAGTCTACCTCACAGTCCAGTGGCCACACCAAGCACTAACGAACCGTGTATAAGTCTGCAAATGTAATTAAAATCTTTTCTTTTTATATATAAATATTTGGTTTTGTATTTAGTACTCTAAACCTTGCTCCAACATTAACTTTTTTTTTTTTAAACATCTAAACCATCCATTTTTTTCGACTTTATAAACCTTGACCTTTAACCATTCTCCCAATAGTAGTCTCTATCGCAATGTACACCTTATTATATTTTTTTTCTTTATTTTTTAAATATCAATTTAAGTAATTATTGTTTTAATTTATGGTTTGTTTGGAATGTTAATTTGTGTAACTGATAACAAAATTACCTAATTGACTCTCAAATTACATTAATTCTATAATTCATTCCCAAATTATATTCTCAAATTACATTATCTTTTAAGTGTATGGCTCATTTATGAATATTTTATGTATAAATTTATTTTTGAATGTGGTATTTTTG